GGGGTTTCACCATTTTGACCAGGATGGTCTCGATCTCTTGACCTCGTGATCCACCCGCCTCGGCCTCCCAAAGTGCTGGGATTACAGGCGTGAGCCACCGCGCCCGGCCCTTGGAGGTAACTCTTAAAGAACAAAAAGCTTTCCTGGCGGAGTGGCTCTGGAATGATAGCAGAACGTCAACAGCTTAAGACAATTGAGTGGACTTTTCTTTTTTTTTTTCTTTTTTTTTTTTTTTTTGGAGAAGCGCAGAAGTGGCCAGGTATGGCGGCTCACACCTGTCATCCCAGCACTTTGGCAGGCCAAGATGGGAGAATTGCTTGAAGCCAGGAATTTGAGAGTCAACATAGCAAGACCCTGTCTCTACAAAAAAAAGAAAAAAGAAAAAAAAAATAGTCAGACTTGGTGGCACATGCCTATAGTCCCAGCCCCTTGGGAATCTGAGACAGGAAGATCAGTTTGAACCATCCCAGGAATTTTTTTTTGTTTTTTTTGTTGTTGTTGTTGTTGTTGTTTTTTGAGACGGGAGTTCGCTATTGTTACCCAGGCTGGAGTGCAATGGCGTGATCTCAGCTTACCGCAACCTCTGCCTCCTGGGTTTAGGCAATTCTCCTGCCTCAGCCTCCTGAGTAGCTGGGATTACAGGCACGCGCCACCATGCCCAGCTAATTTTCAGTATTTTTAGTAGAGACGGGGTTTCACCATGTTGACCAGGATGGTCTCGATCTCTTGACCTCGTGATCCACCCGCCTCGGCCTCCCAAAGTGCTGGGGTTACAAGCGTGAGCCACCGCGCCGGCTGAACCCAGGAGTTTACAACTACAGAGAGCCGTGATCAGAAAGCTGGGGACTTACAGTGTCCCTTGGGCTCCCCAAATCATTCAGAGACTGTTTTTCTATTTTGCTTCCTCTTTTTATTTTTATTTTTGAGACAGTCTCACTCTGTCTCCCAGGCTGGAGCGCAATGGCACAATCTTGCCTTACGGCAACCTCTGCCTCCTGGGTTCAAGTGATTCTCCTGCTCCAGCCTCCCAAGTAGCTGGGATTACAGGCGTGCACGCCCAGCTAATGTTTGGATTTTTAGTAGAGGTAGGGTTTCACCATGTTGGCCGGGCTGGTCTCGAACTCCTGACCTCAAGTGATCCACCCATCTTGGCCTCCCAAAGTGCTGGGATTACAGGTGTGAGCCGCTGAGCCCGGCCTTGACTTCCTCTCAGTTGAGTTCGCTCCCGTCTGCAAATCTTCCTCCTGGCGGCCCCCACTCTTTTCCCTTTCCTGTTCCGTGTCTACTTTTCGTGGGGGAGAGAGTCTCGCACAGCCTGGAGAGGCGCCATGAGGACGGAGGCTGTGTCTGCTTTCCCGGCTCCTGGCTCCCTGCCTGGCACACAGTGGGCCTTCAAGATGGATTCGTTGCCTGAAGGAGTCAAGAAGCC